GAGCAAAGATAATGTATTATATGCGGTTCACAAATTGATCAGTCGTTCAGAGTTTGCAATTAATTGATAATTATTCAAATCAAGAACAGAACCGATACTATTTATTAATGTTTCAGGAAATCCAAACCGTTGCGGAAAGCCGGATAAAGGCAAGCTTTCATCATCTGAAACAAAAAGTTCAATCAGATCTTTAACAGTTGAGTTTCTATTTCAAAATTGAATGATTTGATTTCGATAAACAGAAATTAAATTAACAGTACGCAAATTATTTAATTCGTTTTCTAAAGAGGTCATTCAATTTGAATCAATCATTGATTCTTCGGAAAGTGAGGGAAAACGAAAAAAAGATAATTCGCCATTCTCATCAAAATAGTCTCAAGTTATCGTTATTCCTAGTTCCGGTAATAAATCAGGAATCTGGTTCTCTGTTGCAAGAAATGCTTTAAAAACACCTATTTCCGCTCTTAATTCAACAATATTCACGTCATTATTTCATGAATCAATTAAATCTTGGATTTGCCGAAAATATGGATGATTTTTATTTTCCCAAAAAATAATTAGATCTTGCATATAACCAAATCACTCAAACAATCTTTCTCCATTAACATCAGCAAAGGCTGCGGGCTCAATTGTACCATTTTCATTGAAATCATCCATTTCTAAATTACGCGGAAAGCGAAAATTAATGTCGGGAGTTGGGTGCCGTTTTTCTTGTTCAATTAAATTTCTGTATTTTTCCTGATGTAATCAACGAGTCGCGAGGGCTATTTTAAAATGTTGATAATAAATTTGTAAATGAGTTTCGGGATCAAAAGAACTAATTCAACCAACGATTTCTTTTAATTCCGTAATTGTGCTCATTCAATCCAAACCACTTAATTCCATTTCTCCTTTTTCATTAAAATCATCAACACTCATTTCCGAAAGAAAAGCAAAATTTTGCGGATATTGTCCATTTCAATCTATTGGAATATAAGTACTTTCCAAATTGCTTTTGTATCTTTCCATGACGAGAAGACGATTCGAATTTTTAGCTCAATAAGACTTAACGCGTCATCGAAAATCCGTAGAAACAGCTTGATTATTAATTAGATATAAATCATTGCAACCGAGCTGGGGATAACAACTTTCAGTCATAAAGCGAGCATAAAAGGTCTCATCAAATAATAATCTCGCATTGGTTACCGCAGTCTCGAAAAAGTTCAATCAGCCACCATGTCGCGAAGTCTCCCATCGAGGATTCCTGAGTCAACTCATTTGTGTAGGATCTAAATTCCCATACTCATCAAAATCATCTAAACTAATTGAATCAATTGTTCTTTCTCCAATAGTCCGATATGGATCAAAGGTTACAAGCCTATCTAGTTCATCAAATTCAATTTTTTTCATTAAGGCAATTTCTCGGCGGGCATTCGCGAAATTTGAATTGGTATTTCAATAATCAGATACGATTGATCGAAGAATTTGCGAGTGATCACGAATACTGAGGGAATGTCAAAAAGAATTAAAGCCTTCATTTGATCATTGATGCATGAAACGTAAAATTTGAATTCGTAAATCAAAAATATTTCAACTTGACGGAATATTGTCTCTTCAAAATCAAAGTTTTTCGGTTTCGCCCATTTCTCGACTTGCTCATCGATCAAGGATTTCCGTTGTTAATGCAACTTGCAAACCGCGAGCTCAAGCCCGAGCGTGAGAAATTCGCGGACTCGTGTTGCTATATGGTCCAGTATAAACAATTAGTTGGTTAATGTTCCCAAGGTGATCTTCTTTTATTCCGATTCGAATATATTTTTTGTCGCCATTATAAGTTCCGAGTAAATATCGATATTCTTTAACGTCGCCAACTAATTGTTCGTTGCTAAAAATATCGGTATCCTCGGAGTCACTAAATGTCGATAATGAATTCGATGAAACGAAAAAAGATGAATTGTTTTTCTCACTTATTCGAGTTTCTAAAAAGAAAAAAAAGACAAAAAAAACAAAAATTAAAAGAATTAAATATCGTTTCAAAAAGAATTTAATATAATGGAGATACTTTCCGATTTGCATTTATTATTAATACCACATTTTATACAAAAAATTAAAATAATGTGAAAAAAAAAAAAAAAAACAATTTTTTTTTGCTCTTTTGAATAGAAAAATCCGACAAAGATGTTTTATTTAAAGAAGGCTCAAAACTCTATAAAAATTTATATTCAAAAAAAATAGACATTTTTCGGAAAAAGAAATAAAATAGAAAGAGTATGAAAATTTCCGATTCAAAAGAGTGAGAAAAAATAATTGAAAAAAAAGGACTCATTTTATTTACGGCCAATTGATGTATTGACTGTCGTAACTTTGCCCCACATTTTCAAAAAATTGTGCGCGAATATTCGAATTTACCGATTTATCATGTAAATATTGACGAATTACCAAAATTAGCTCATATTGCCGAAGTGCGTTCAATTCCTATTTTATGATTGTATGAAAAAGGTAAACAAGTAAGTCGATTAACCGATTACAGCGAAAAAGGATTGCGAATTTTTATTCAAAAACATTTCTTTTAAATTAAAAAAATGTTTTTGAATATTTTCAAATTTCGATAAATTTGCTTTTATGAATTCTTTTATTCCGCATAATATAGAAGTACTGATTTTGGATTTGGACTCAACGGTAGTGGGTTTGGACAACTCCATTTCCGCAGCAAATATATCACAAATTGCTCGTGTTGTGTCGCAGGGAATTAAAATTATTATTGCCACGGGAAGAGATTTTGGCGGTGCCAAAATAATTTTAAAAAAACTCAATTTAATGCAAAAGCCTCATCAATTGGTTTGCTTAAACGGAGCCTTAATTATTGATTTGGAGACGGAACAAAGAATTGAGAGTAAGCCTTTAAGTATTGTGGAAAAAACTCAAATTTTAGCAAAATTAAAAGAATATCAATTACAAGGAATTTTTTTTAAAGGACAAAAGAATAACACGGGAGATTTGGTGGGCAATAAACATCACTTAAAAGAAACAAATGCTTTTTTAGCTCATGATTCACGAATTTTGCTTAATCTGTTGAGCGAAACGAAAATTCTGGCAAATACCTATTTAAGCATGATTGCTTGCGGTAGACACGAAAACATAAATTTATTTGAAAATTTTATTCGGCAAAGTACCGATC